GGGGACACGCTCCTGCACTGCGCCGCGCGCCACGGGCGCCGGGACGTCCTGGCCTATCTGGCCGAGGCCTGGGGCCTGGACATCGAGGCCGCCAACCGGGACTACAAGCGGCCTCTGCACGAGGCCGCCTCCATGGGCCACCCGGACTGCGTGCGCTACCTGCTGGGGCGCGGGGCGGCGGTCGACTGCCTGAAGAAGGCCGACTGGTAGGTGGCGGGGTCGGGACACCGCCCCGCGCCCACCCCCCACAGGACCGGGGTGTTTCGTGTACTCCTCCCTCGCCTCGGAAACCGTAGCTTTCCCGGGGCCTGGTTCTCGCCCAGGCCTGTTCAGGGGCAGGGTCGTCCTGCCCAGCGTTCTGTAGCGCGGATAATCCACAGAGCCCGTGGTTCCTGCCCTTGTGGGCTAAGTGGTCAGGACGGTCGCTTCCCTCGGTAGGGCAGATAAAGTAGAGAATATCATCAAACAGGCCGGATGCGGCGGCTGGTACCTGCAAGCCTAGCACTTTGGGAGGCCGAGAAGGGAGGACTGCTTGAGCCCGGGAGTTGGAGACCAGCCTAGGCAACCTATTGAGACCCTTAGCCAGGTGTGATGGCCGGCCCCTGTAGTTCCAGCCCCTCTGGAGGCTGGGGCGGAAGGATTGCTTGAGCCCAGGAGGTCTCGGCTGCCCTGAGCCGTGATTGTGCCACTCTACTCCAGCCTGGGAGACGGTGAGATTCCAACTCAAAAAACTAGAATACAGCAAGCAGTGAATTGTGTGTTCTACACATAGCCTCGGGATGTGATGAGGACTTCAAGCCAAGTCACTGCTGTACCAGTTGCACTGTTTTGATTGACGTTGACACAGTCCCTGCCCTTATTCATCTTCATTTGTCGTATGGGCGTGTAGCAGAGTGTGTGGCTTATCACTTGCGTGTAGCCTTGTGTCATGTAGCCACCACTACAGTCCAGACACTCATACTGTACCATCTCACAAACCAGTTGCATTTTGATTGCTAGATTGACACTGTTTTTAGTACTCTGGTGGGTTATGACCCTCTCAAGGTTCAGGAACAAATTAAGTTCCTGCCTTAAAGTGATTCTTGATCTGATATAAATAAAACGAGGGAGCCATATAGTTAAATATTTTTGAGTTGGAGTCTCATCCTCTTGCCCAGGCTGGAGCACAGGGGCACGCTCACAGCCCCTGCAGCCTCCCTCTGCTGTGCTCAGGTGATCCTTCTGCCTAAGCCTTCAAGTAGCTGGAACCACAGGCACATGCCACCACGCCTGGCTGCTTTTTTATTATTTTTGTTTGCCCAGGCTGGAGTCCAGTGGCACACTCATGGCCACCTCAGCATTGACCCACTGGGCTCAGGCGGGCCTTCCACCTTAGCCTTCCAAGTAGCCGGAACTACAGGTGCGTGCTACCGTGTCACGCTAATTTTCTGATTTATTGTAAAGACAAGGTCTCGCCAAGTTGCCCAGGCTGTTCGTGATACTTTTTTTTTTTTTTTTTATGGTAGACATGAAGTCTTGCCAGGCTGGTCTCGAACACCTGGGCTCAGGCACCCCTCTTGCCTCTGCCTACCAAAGTGCTGAGATGACAATGTGAGCAATTGCACCCTACCATGTAGTTAAGTAAAGCACGCCCTCCCCTACTGAGGTGGTGGGATAGACCTGGTTGTGTGCTGAAGGTTGTCTGGGTTTATTAGCTCTGCCCAGTTCCCTGTTTTCCTGGGAGCTAGCTCACAAATGCCTCTGCCTCCCAGGGCCCCTGGAGGTGCACCTTTGTCACAATCACTTTCCCCTTGTTATGTCTCTCAGCGTCCTCCCAGCAGGCTCAGAAGTCACCCATCAGAGCTGTTCTCCTGCCTCCCAGACCCCTGAATCCTCTAGGTTTCCCATCTGTGCCCAGGTTGTGCATGTTCTGAAGACCTGACCCCTTGCTCCTGTGTCATGGCTGCCTCTGTCTGACAGCTTGTCCTGCTTGACCTTAGGACGCCTCTGATGATGGCCTGCACGAGGAAGAACCTCGAAGTGGTCCAGGACCTCGTGGAACACGGCGCCAACCCCCTCCTGAAAAACAAAGATGGCTGGAACAGTTTCCACATCGCCAGTCGCGAGGGCGACCCTCTGATCCTCGAGTTCCTGCTCACTGTCTGCCCAGAGGCCTGGAAGACGGAGAGCAACATCCGAAGAACGCCTTTGCACACCGCAGGTATACTCCACAGGCGGGCGGGCCCACGGGTGCGGCCGCTCCACCCAGCACCGCGAGCCTCATCCTGCTAGAGTCACCCGCAGGGAAGTGAGGATTCTGGGAAGCGGGGCAGGGAATAAGGGCATCCAGGAGCCCTGAGGCATGCAGTCAGCTTCTAAAGCCAGCGGCGAGCATGCGCCTCTTGTGTTGGTTCATTTTCCACGTGGCGCTGTCTTCTCCTCCCTAGGCAGTTAGCTGGTGAGCTGGTTCGGTTCCTTACGAAATCTTTGACCTTGGGCAAGGAAACCGCTCTCTCTTGAACGAGTTTCCCCACGAGCAAAACAATGATGGCCATGAGCCTGTGTCACAGGATCGTTACAGGATTGAAGGAGCATGATAGATGTCAGTCCCTTAGACAGTTCTTGGCACATGGTGGTCACAAAAACTGGTTGCCGCGGTTTTCTTTGTGATTTTCTTTCTTTTTTTTTTTTGGAGTCGAGAGTCTCACTCTGGCTCCCAGACTAGAGTGCAGTGGCACGCTTTCACAGCCACTGCAGACTTGACCTGCTGGGCTCAGGCAATCCTTCTGCCTCAACCTTCCTAGTAGCTGGAACTACAGGCATGTGCCACCATGCCCGGCATTTTTTTTTTTTTGAGTTGGAGTCTCACTCTGTCGCCCAGACTGGAGTGCAGTAGCACACTCCCGGCCACGGCAACCTTGACCTGCTGGGCTCCGGCGATCCTTCTGCCTCAGCCTTCCAAGTAGCTGGAACTATAGGCGCGCACTACCATGCCTGGCTAATATTTTGATTTACTGTAGAGATGAGGTCTCGCCAAGTTGCCCAGGTGGGTCTCAAACCCACGGGCTCAAGCAATCCACTCACCTCAGCCTCCCAAAGCGTGGGATTACAGGCTGAGCCACCAAACCCAGCTAATTTTTCTTGATTTATTATAGAGATGAGGTCTCGCCATGTTACTCAGGCTGATCTTGAACTCCTGAACTCAGGCAGTCCTCTTGCCTCTCCCTCCCAAAGTACTGGGATTACAGGCATAAGCCACCGTGCCCAGCCTGTGATTTTCACATTGTTATTATTAAAGGCAGGAGGGAAAGAGACTGTATTTCCTCATGTCCTGAGTAACACCTACCATAGTGCTTTATATTTAAGTAAATATAGATGTTTATAATTAAATACGTGGGCCCAATAATGTCAAATATAAATATAGGGTAAGATTTCCATTATTCAGAGTAGTGATTCTTAATTTTGAATTACCTATTCATAACTTATTTTAAATTAGTAAAAAAGTAATTTTACAAAAATTAGCCAGGCATGGTGGCATGCTCCTGTAGTCCCTGCTCCTCAGGAGGCTGAAGCTGGAGGATCACTCAAGCCCAGGAGTTTGAGGTGGCATTGAGCTATGACCTTGCCACTGTATTCCAGCCTGGGTGACAGAGCAAGACCCCATCTCTAAATAAATAAGTAAAAAGGAAAATCACTGTGATGTCAGAAGAAGTGGATGGTAAGGAGCTCAAGGGATCAGATCAAGAAATTCAGAAAACAACTTTGAGCCTTCTAGGTAGTGCGTAGGACACAGGTCCTAGTATCTCTGAAGTTCAATGCCTGTGACGTGATGGCATCAGGAAATACACACTCACACTCTCGCCACAGCTGTCGTTAGGGGCCAGGGAATCCTTTTAAAAGCTCTATAAGTCAGTAGAACAACTTTTCTCTAGCTCACGATTGTTTGACCAGCTCTTCCCACCACCCCCAGATCCCTTGGAGAAATAGTCAGCACCCTGTCATTCACCCCAAAGCATGGAGGACAGGCAGTCCAAATCTTTCATGCTGAGTATAGTTATTTTTAGTGGGAGAATTAAGTTCCCAGCTGTTTTGTCGTGGATCACGATGACAGTGTTTTGTGTTTCCTCGGCAACAACAGGCTGGCTCGGTCTCCAGCACAAAAGGATGGAGACAGGGTTAGGACGGAAAGTTTCCCATGAAAGCACTCGTGAAGATGAGGCGAGCAACCGGGCGTGATGGCTCACACCTGCTGCCCTCATGCTCTGGGAGGCCAAGGCAGGGGGGTCGCTTGAGCCCAGGAGCTTGAGACCAGCCTGGCAGCAAAACCAGACCTCGTGTCTACCAAAAAGGTTAAAAAATTACCCGGGTAGGGTGGCATGTGCTTGTCGTCCCAGCTCTCTGAGGCGGGAGGGTCGCCTGAGCCCAGGAGAACAAGGCTGCGGCGAGCAGTGACTGTGCCACTGCACTCCAGCTTGGATGACAGAGTGAGACCCCCAGCTCAGAAGGAAAAAAGATGGTCAGGTGTCAGCTGTGTACATGTTAAGAGAAACATTATTTTTACTTATCTATTCATTTTCACAGCGGAGTCTTTTTATGTTGCCCGGGCTGGTCTCAAAATCCTGGCCTCAAGCGATCCTCCTGCTCGGTCTCCCAAAGTGCTGGGATTACAGGTGGGAGCCACCAAGCCTGGCTGAAAACATTACTGTTTGTCACCAGATTCAGTTCCATATTTATGTTTCCGGGGCAGTGACAGGGCACCTTATTTAATTCCTTCCTATAAGTTATAACAATAAGAGGGGCAGAGAGCAGAGCCTGGGGAGAGTGGCATGTTACTGAAAACGGCTCTAATTCTCAGCTCTCTCCTGCAGCCCTGCATGGCCATTTAGAGGCAGTCAAGGTGCTTCTTAAGAGGTAAGACCAACACAGCAAATGACATGATAATCGCGACAGTCAGTGTCAGAGCTACATAAAGGACTCAATGAGGAAGAAACTAAGCTTTCAAAAGAAAATCAATGAAGCAGATGAAAAAGATAAAGCAAAATAGCCAACACGCATATGGAAAAATGCATTTTTAGTGGCAAAATTGTCCATTTCCCTATTATTTATTTATCTATTTGTATTTGAGTCAGAGTCTCACTCTGTCACCTAGGCTGGAGTGCAGTGGCACAGTCACAGTCACCTCGTGATTACTGCAGCCTCGAATTCGTGGGCTCAGGTGATCTTTCCGCCTCAGCCTCCCAAGTAGCTGCAACTACAGGCACACGCCACCATATCTGGCTGAATTTTTTTATTTTTTATAAAGACAAGGTCTCGCTGTGTTGCCCAGGCTGGTCTCAACCTCCTGGGCTCAGGCGATCATCCCACCTCAGCCTCCCGAGGAGTTGAGACTACAGGTGCATGCCACCACACCTGACTGAATTTTTTATTTTTTATAAAGACAGAGTCTCACTATATTGCCCAGGCTGGTCTCGAACTCCTGGGCTCAAATGATCCTCCCGTCAGCCTCCCAAAGTGCTGGGATTACAGGTGTGAGCTGTGGCACCCAGCATTCTTTCCCTGTTTATTCACTGATCATTTACACATCCAACCGGTGCCTGATGAAAACTGAGCCCTGTGTCAGGTGCAGGCGCTCCAGCAGAAGTGAGATAGATGTGGTCTCTGCCCACCTGGAGCTCACAGGCTAGCAGGAAGCCACATTAGGAACAGGTGCTGGGAGGCTGATGAGTGTTCTGGGAACTGCGGGGCCCTGGGAGCTCGTCACACCAAGACCCACCTTGGACCGGGAGTCAGGAATCTTAGCGCCAGCAACGGTGACACTAGGACCTGAAGAGGGATAGAAAGGGGGAGCCAGGAGCCTTCCAGACAAAGGAGAAGCACCGGGGGACACTTTGAGCCAGGAGAAGGCCTCGAGTGCCTGAGAAACTGAGAAAAGTCCAGGATGTGCTGGAGCCTGAACAGTGGAAGGAAGACTGGAAGCTGTAGACCATGGTGAGGGCTGCAGACTTTGTTCTGAGCACTCAGGGAGCCGCCAAAGCTGGGTGCAGTGGCGCATGCCTGTAGTTCCAGAACACGCTGTAGTCCCAGCTACTTAGGAGGCTGAGGTGAGAGGATCGCTTGCGCCCAGGAGATCAAGTTTATCCTGGGCATCATAGGAAGACCCCATCTCGGGGAGGGGGAGAGGGGAGTGATTTTTTTTTAGGTCATTGAGAGGTTTTAAGCAGAGGGGTAATAAGAAATTTGTAGTTTTTCTGGCCTGGGCAACATAACAAGACCTTGTCTCTACAAAAAAAAAATGTTTAAGTTGATCATGGTGACACACACCTGTAGTCCCGGCTACCTGGGAGGGAGGCTGAGGTGGGAGGATCACTTGAGCCCAGGAGTTCAAGGCTGCAGTGAGCTATGATTACACCACTGTACTCCAGCCTGGGTGACAGAGCAAGACGCTGTATCAAAAAAAAATTTTTTTTTGCAGTTTTCCAAGATCCTGAATCCTTCTGAGGCAAAATAGAGGCTGGATTGGAGGGGGCAGGGTGAGCCGTGATGCCACTGGGGGCTCCTGCAAGCCTGGAGAGGAATCTTGGAAGCTGGACTGGGGAAGCGACCAGGGAGGAGGCAGAAGGTTGGGGCACGCTGAAGGTGGGGGATCCACAGGGCCAGGCGAGCAGTCCTTACTGGGTGCTGAGGGGGCTGAGGCAGGAGGGGAAGTCGAGGATGACGGCCGGTATCGAGCCCTGGCGGTGGGGCTGGTGCCACTCCTCAGGTCCCAGACGTGGAGGAGGAGCGGGACGTGAGAGCAGGGGGCGCCCGTTTCACCTCCGGACATGAGTTCACGCCCCTGTGCGTGGTCCCAGACATGACGCGAGCAGCCAGTTAGACACAGATGGGCCGAGCGAGAGAGAGACATGGGGCTCGCGGACGTGGAGGCAGGGATTGAAGCCAGAAGAGGGGAGAGACCACCTGGGAGAATCGCTGGGAAGAGGAGGGAAGGGGAGGTACGGCCCGCCGGGCGGAAGCACTGCTGTGTCCGACTCGCCTGGCACTCGTGGGAACGCACCTGCAGGCTGCACGTTCGTTAATATTCCTCCCTTCATTCGAGAAACACCTTCCCTCCTGTGTGTTGGGTTCCTGGGGATGAACAGGCAGCCCCTTCTGAGGGAGCCTGAGGCTTGTGTGGCGGCCTCGTCCTGCAGTGAATATCACATCATTGCCAACCACAGCGACCCTGCCGAGGACACAGACAGGACACTGCCAGGGCGGAGGCAGCGTGGGATGAGGAAAGGCCTCCGTCAGGGTCACGTTCAGGGTGAGAGGTGGCACGGAATGAGAGCAGCGGGCAGTGCTGCTCCCAGTGCAGGACTCGGCAGGGACTCAGGAGCAGCGAGGCTGCAGGAGCTCAGGGTGAAGCCTGGAGACGGAGGCAGGGTCTGCCAGGTGGCCCTTGGAGGTCACACTGGGCTTGAAGGAGTTATCCTCTGTGCAGGGGCAGCAGTGGAGGCTGGAAGCAGGCGTGACTTTGCCTGCTCGCACCATGGAGAGAGGACCGCAGGCGCTGTGGGCAGTGGCTCGGCAGGGAGGCTTCGGGAGAGAGGAGACTGGAGGCTGTTGCCGTGGATGTGGCCCCAGGACGTGAAAGGTGGAGAGACGCTTGTTTTATTTTTTGAGTCAGAGTCTGACTCTGTTGCCCAGGCAGGAGGACAGTGGCACAATCACGGCTCACCACAGCCTTGATCTGAGCTCAGGTGATCCTTCTGCCTCGGCCTCCCTAGTAACTGGGACTACAGGTGCATGCCACCACGCCTGGCTCAGTTTTTCACTTTTTTGTAGAGACAACGTCTCACTGTGTTGCCCAGGCTGGTCTCAAACTCCTGGACTCAAGCAGTCTTCCTGCCTCAGCCTTCCAAAGTGCAGGGATTATAGGCATGAGCCACCACGCCCAGCACAGACATATTTTGGCGACAGAATCAAGAGGTGTGGGTCGTTAATGGGTCTTGAGGGATGAGGGAAACGCTTCGAGGCTTCTGCACAAGAAGCTGGAGAGAAGAAGGTGCCGTCAAAGGGGCTGGGCAGGCTGGCGGAGAGCGGGTTTGCCGGGGAAGGTCAGTGTGCTCGGAGGCCGGGGTCACACAGACACCGAGGGTAGGAGGGGAGATCCCTGCACTGCCACTAGTCGTGCGTCCAGCACACAAGCCATGTGCAGGTAGTCAGGTGTCCTCTGGCCGCCGGGCTGGAGGCGGTGCATCGCTCAGCTCTCTCCTCTGGGGTTTGGGCTCTAGGTGCCACTATGAACCAGATTGCAAGGACAGCTGTGGTGTCACCCCCTTCATGGACGCAATTCAGTGTGGCCACGTTGACATAGCCCGGCTGCTCCTCGAAAGACACCAGGTATAAAGGCCACTTTGTTTTATGCCTTTGGCTCTTCCTACAAATCCTAGACCACAGGATAAGCAGAGCACAGCCTTTTCAGATCCTGGGTGCCAGTCCCTGCTGGACCAAGGACCCCACAGGATTTCATGACCTCTTAAAGCATCTGTGTTTCCATCTGTAAAATGGAGACAAATCTAATATCTTCAAAGCTTCCTGCAATGATTAAATCATATAATGTACAAAGTTATCAAAGTTAATGTTCCATAAATATGGCCGTGTGAGAGTAAGAGTCTTTTGTTGTTGTTGTTTTGAGGAGGAGTCTTAATCTGTCACTTAATTTATTATACAGATGAGGTCTCGCCAAGTTGTCTAGGCTGGTCTGGAACTCAACCCTCTTGCCTCTGCCTCCCAAAGTGCTGGGAGTATAGGCGTGAGCCCATACTGAAAGTCTTTTCTTTAAAAAAAAAAGAAGAAGCTAAGTACTCAGTCTGTCACCCAGGCTGGAGTGCAATGGCACGATCATAGCTCATTGCAGTCACCGACGATCCTCCTGCCTCAGCCTTCCACGTAGCTGGGACTACAGGCATGCACCACTATACTCATTTTCATTTTGTAGAGTTGGGGTCTTGCTATGTTGTCCAGGCTGGTCTAGAAATCCTGGCCTCAAGCGATCCTCCCACCTCAGCCTCCCAAAGTGCTGGGATTACAGGTGTGAGCAACCACACCAGGCCTGGAGTCCTTTGAGAATCAAACAAAAGCTACGTAGCCTCTGCTCAGAGGGACGTATGTAGACAGCTACGTTTTGCCACATTTCGGTAAGTGCCTGGACCCAGGTCTCTCTTTGTCTTACCCACTTTGCTCCTCTCTCTCCTGTGTTCACTAGGCTTCGCTTTCAGCCGAGGACAGCCTGGGCGCCCAGGCTCTGCACAGAGCAGCTGTCACCGGGCAGGACGAAGCCATCCGATTCTTGGTCTCTGAACTCGGCGTTGACGTCGACGCGAGGACCACGTCAAGTCACCTCACGGCGCTTCACTGTGCAGCCAAGGTTTGTTTCTTCTTGTGGTGGCATCCCAGGCCCCCAGGCTGGTCTTTCTCCAGCTCTGGACAGCTCCACAGCCTGGTTTGTTTCCATCTCTGTGGAAGGAATCACCTGTGATAAAGTCCCGAGACGTTCGTGATCCCAAAGCCCTGTATCCTTGCGGCAGAAGCCTGCCTTCGTTTTGTTTCTAGGCAAAAACAGAAAAACATTTGCTCCATACAATGCCTGGTTCTTACGCCCTCCCCCCCAACACACACATACATACACACACTTTTTTTTTTTTAATTTTAGGAATAATGTTATGTGAAACCATAAATATCCACTGTATGAAACCCCTGGCTCTCTATTCTTATATTGGATTTCAGAAGTTAAGATCTCTCAAAGTACAGTAAGAGATCGCCTGTCCCAGGCTTTACAGTGTATAAAATATTGAAGATAAGCAAAAATTTTGTATTAGAAAAGTAGCTGTTTCAAATTCTAGAAGTGGCTTTTGTCTGTAATTTCAGCACTTTGGGAGTCTGAGGCAGGAGGACTGCTTGAGGCCAGGAGTTCAAGTGCAGCCTGGGCAACATAGCAAGATCCCATCTCCAAAAAAAGCAAAAGAAACAAACAAAAAATGCTAGGAGTCTTTTGAGTGTTGTCTTCAACATTCCTGTCATGAGAGGTCACCATCTTTTCTGGCTTATTGCTGCCCTAAAGATTGTAGCAGAGCTTGGGAAGTCTTGGAATTGTGGGTTCTGTACAAATCACAAGACTTACACTGTTTGCACTGACGAACCCAGCTGCATTGGGTCAACAATTTGGCCTACAGAGTTGATCGTCTATATTCTAATAATTAAATGTCACTAAAATACTTGGTGACTTCTACTAGAACTTGAGAATGATATGGTGAGTCTTCCTTTGGATATGGAAATTGTTTTAGCAGTCTTATTTTAGAAAAAGTACTAGAGTCTGTGTGTAAAGGTTTGCTTTTGTCCTCATCACATGATAACACATTTATTTCAACACACAGGAAGGACACAGAAGCACAATTCAGACTCTCTTATCCCTGGGTGCTGATATCAACACCAAAGATGAAAGAAATCGATCGGGTATGGAGTAATTTCATATCTCCCTGGAAACGGAGTATAAACAGTACACATACTTTTTTTATATTTAAAACGCTGGTTTTAGGCAGGGGTGTGGCTCATCCCAACGATTTGGGAGGCCAAGGTGGGAGGATTGCTTGAGACCAGGAGTTGGAGACCAGACTGGACAACATCATGAGACCCTGTCTCTACCAAAAATAAAAATATTAGGTGAGCATTGTGGCTCACGCCTGTGGTTCTAGCTACTTAGGAGGTTGAGGCAGGAGGATCACTTGAGCCCTGGAGTTCGAGGCTGCAGTGAGCTATGATCATGCCACTGCACTCCAGCCTGGGCAACAGAACAAGATCCTGTCTCAAAAAAAAGTTGTTTTTAATATGCTTCTTCTGATAGCTCAGCATCTTTTTCTTAAAGTAACGTTTTCTCTGTTTGCAAAACCCTAGAGCTATCGTTGTCATTATGATGGTGACGATGACACTTGCTTGTTGCTGCTGCTGCAGACACTATTGGGGTTGTTATTATTATATTATTTATTTGTTTATTTATTTGTATTTGTTAATTTTTTGAGTTGGAGTCTCACTCTGTCGCCCAGGCTGGAGGGCAGTGGCATGCTTCCAGTCACCACAGCCTCGACCTGCTGGGCTCAGGTGATCCTTCCGCCTCAGCCTTCCAAGTCGCTAGACTACAGGCATGCACCATCACGCCTGGCTGGTTTTTTTGACTTATTGTAGAGATGAGGTCCCGAGGCTGGTCTCGAACCCCGTGCCCAGGCTGGTCTCGAGTTGCCCAGGCTGGTCTCGAACCCCGTGGGCTCAGGCAGTCCTCTCACCGCGGCCTCCCAAAGTGCTGGGATTATAGGCGTGAGCCACCGCGCCCGGCCTGGGGTTATTATCATTTTAAACCCTAATAACATTGGTGGTGTAGAAGCACTTTCTGCATAATCCATGATGACTCCACTGTGCAGATGTCTGCTAGTACTTCACAGGTCGTCAGCCCCTGGCACATATTTAGAAAATATATTTGTAAATGTAGAGTTCAGCAATATATTCTCAGAGCTCATTCTTTAGACTTAGACTTCAGAATAAACCCTCTGGTGAACATTCTATGATATGAGCCAAAGGCCATCTCGCAAGGGCCTGGAGGGATCTTTACGGAGTCGCAGACACTCTCAAGTAGCTGACCGCTCGCCCAAGGGCCAGACGGCGGCTCCTCACCCCAAGAGGGAACATGGGCTTTCTCCTTGAGGCAGGGCAGCCAAGCCAGCGGTGGTCTGGACTCAGCACACCAGGAACCTTCAGCACTAATTTCAGACGAGATCGGCGCGTTCAGGATGGTATGGCCATAGACCTGCCACACAAAATCTATACCCAGAGCAAGAAAATTGGTCAGCATTTTTCTTTCATGGTGATTTTTTTTTTGGTCGGGTCTCACTTTGTCACCCAGGCTGGAGTATAGTGGCACAATCATGGTCCACTGCAGCCTCAACCTCCTGGGCTCAGGCAATCCTTCCACCTTAGCCTCCCAAAGTAGCTTGGACTACAGGCATGCACCACCACACCCAGCCAACTGTTTTGTAGAGACAGGATCTTACTATGTTGTCCAGGCTGGTCCCAAACTCCTGGGCTCAATCATTCCTCTTGCCACAGCCTTCCATAGTGCTGTATTACAGGCCTATGGTGATATTTTTACTTACAAAGCAAATTCCACAAAACTTTGAGGAAGTTTTCTTATGCCATTTAAAGTGTGTTTCTATGGCACTCAGGAGTAAGTGTGAAGAGGACCAGCCTCTGTTTCTCATTAATGTTGCTCTTTTGCCAAAAAGTTTCTTAAATTCTTTTTAACTGGTTTTGTTATTTTTATACTATTTTCAACCTACTCAGTGACTCAGCTTGTAATCCCAGCTCTTTGGGAGGCTAAGGTAAGTGAATTGCCTAGTCCTCGGGTTCGAGACCAGCCTGGGCAACTTGGTAGCACACACCTATTGTTCTGGCTCCTTAGAGGGCTGAGGTGGAAAGATCACTGGAGCCCAGCAGGTCGAGGCTGCAGTGGCTGGGAGTGTGCCACTAAACTCCAGGCTGGGCAACAGAGTGAGACTCCGACTCAAAAAAAAAAAAGAAAAAGAATACTGTGATCTAATCGTGGTGGCTCATACCTATGATCTCAGCTACTCAGGAGGCTGAGGTGAGAGGATCACTTGAGACCAGGAGTTCAAGACTACACTGGGCAACAAAACGAGAACCCATCTCTAAAAAAATTAAAAATAGAGCTGGGCTCGGTGGCTCAACCTGTAATCCCACGCCTTTGGGAGGCTGAAGTGAGTGGATTGCCCGAGCCCGCGGGTTCGAGACCCGCCTGGGCAGGCAAGACCTCATCTCTACAATAAAATCAAAAAATTAGCCGGGCGTGGTAGCACGCCTGTAATTCTGGCTACTCGGAAGGCTGAGGCGGAAGGATCGCTGGAGTCCAGCAGGTTGAGGCTGTGGTGGCCGGGAGCAGCCACTGCACTCCAGTCTGGGTGACAGAGTGAGACTCCAACTCAAAAAAAAAATTAGCCGAACATGGTGGCGCATGTCTGTAGTCCCAGCTGTTCAAGAGGCCGAGGCTGGAGCATCACTGGAGCCCGGAAGTTTGAGTCTGCACTGACCCTTGATCATGTCACTGCACTCCAGCCTGGGCCACAGAGCAAGACCCCATATCCAAAAAAACAAAATAATATTCGATCTAGTGTAGGTAAAGTCACGGGGATGAATTGTGGGAGCCACTGAAAGAATTGATATTTTTATTGGGCACAGTCAGTGCCCAAGCTCAGCATTGCTCCGGGGTCCTATACTGAGTCCGTGTGGCTCTGTCCACAGCCCTGCACTTGGCCTGTGCCAGCCAGCACGTGGCCTGTGCCGAGTTTCTCCTCCAGTCGGGGCTGAAGGATTCCGAAGACGCAGTGGACACCATGGCTCAGCAGCTGACCAAGAATGCAGCCATCCTTTAGCGCTCCTGCCACGGCGCGTTGGCATAGGACGCCTCTAGAAGGAGAAATAAAGTGCCTGGTAATCCGTATCCTGCTTCTTGACTCATTCAGAGGCCATGAGACTGGTGGGTGGCCAGTGTCCCGTCCCTTCCTGCCCCTGCCCTCCAACATACTTTCCCAAGGACCAGGAGGCAGATTCCTCGCTCCAGGACTGACACGATCATCCTCCCATACTCCAGAATTCACATTTTCTAGCCTTAAAATGGAATCAGTTGGCCTGGCGCCGTGGCTCAAGCCTGTAACCCCAGCACTTTGGGAGGCCAAGGTGAGAGGACTGCCAGAGCCCAGGCATTTGAGACTAGCCCGGGCCACCTGGCGAGACCTTGTCTCTATAATAAAAAAATTTTTAAAAACCGGGAGTGGTAGCGCGTGCCTGTAGTTCCGGCTACTTGGAAGGCTGAGGTGGAAGGATCGCCGGAGCCCAGCAGGTCAACGCTGGGGTGGCCATGAGCGTGCCACTGCACTCCAGCCGGGCGATGGAGTGAGACTCCGACTCAATAGAGACTCCAACTCAAAAATAAATAAATAAATAAATAATGGAATCAATAATGAAGTCAGTCTCTGGACTCTTTCTCAATATATGTATTGATTTTTTGCCGGCAAGTATGAGGGGGGACCCAGAAAAACAGGAATTTGTTTATTAAAACAGTGCGTACTTATTCTTACGTGCTTAAACTTCAGTCACCTTCCAAGTCTTCTCCGTTGGTTGCAGTACACCCATTGGGACGCTTTTCCCACCACTTCAGACAGACTTTGAACTCATCAGTGTTGATGCCCTTAAGTGCTTCTGCTGTTTTTCACTTCACCTCTTCCACATCAGCAAGATGTTCCCTTTGAGGACCTTTCTCATCTGGGGAAATAAAAGTAAGTCATTTGGGACGAGATCGGTGACGGGGAGGGTGGGGCACAGGGGTCATGCTGCTTTTAGTCAAAAACTGCCAAACACTCAGTGTACTATGCCAGGTATGTTGTCATGGAAGACCAGTCACCTGTTTGTCACAGCTTGGAATGTTTCTTCCACAAATCGTGACACAACCTTCTCCAGACTTCCAGATAAAAACTTTGCTTGACATTTGATCTGGAGGAACAAGTTCTGAGTGTGCTATAAGGAGCCTGCCCTCCAAAAGATAATCCTGGTTTTTTGGGGCCCCCTCATATATAGAGCAAAGTCTCTGGAATCTTTAGAGAAGCCTCTAACATGCCTAATGTAATGTGGTAAACATAGTTTCATAAACCTATGAAATGCCTTCTAATAGCTGCTGTATGATGAGGTACTGGTAATGATATTAAAAATATAACATATGGGCTAGGTGCAGTGGCTCAAGTCTGTGATCCCAGCACTTTGGGAGGCCAAGGCGAGAGGATTGCCTGAGCCCAGGGGTTCGAGACCAGCCTGGGCAACTTGGTGAGACCTCATCTCTACAGTAAATTTAAAAATTAGCCAGATGAGGTGGGTGTGCCTGTAGTTCCAGCTACTTGGAAAGCTGAGGCAGAAGGATGGCCTGAGCCCAGCAGTTCAACACTGGGGTGGCCATGAGCTTACCACTGCACTCCAACCTGGGCAACAGAGTGAGACTCTGACTTAAAAAGATACATATGACATACATTGCTATCAGCTTGAGCCAGAAAACATAATTGACCTGTTTAATTTCTTCCTTCATAGGCTTTTACTTGATCATGGCAATGGTTCAGTGTTTGCTTTCATGGCCAAGAAGGAAATACTTATGATCTGTCTACACAGACATTTACAAGAAATTCATTAAAACTTTTATATATTCTAAGCACTGCTAGTTGAGCTATAAAGTTTTCATCTTGGGCCAGACGTGATGGCCCACACCTATAATCCCAGAACTTTGGGAGGCCGAGGCAGGAGAGTGGCTTCAGCTCAGGAGTTTGAGACCATGCTGGGAAACATAGCAAGACCTCATCTCTACAAAAAATAAAAGTAAAAAATCAGCTGCACATGGTGGTGCACACCTGGAGTCCCAGCTTCTCTGGAGGCTGAGGCAGAAGGATTGCCTGAGCCCAGGAGGTCCAGGCTGCAGTGAGCTGAGATCACACCACTGCACTCCAGTCTGGGGATAGGGAGACCCTGTCACTCACACACACATGCAAGTTTCCATCTTAAGGGCTTGTGTTTGCTATAGTAGACACATTTGGTATGGGCCTTTTAGAGCATCAGTGTACCTAGAAAATGTAGCTGGCATGTTGACAAAGCTTGTCCGCTGACCTCATTTGCAGAGGAGGGCTTTGTTCTTAAAACCCACAGTTGCATTTTCTGCCCCCACACACCCACCCACCCACAGAGACCTTGGACTTTAAGGAATGAAAGGCTCCACATGTACCGTGAATCGTGTCGTCGCCTCTTTACCAGATTAAAGATAGAATGAGTCCTCAGGTGTGTAGATTCTTTTCTTTTTGTGTTTTTCTTTTTTCCTTTGCTTTTTTTTTTTTTTTGAGTCAGAGTCTCACTCTGTCGCCCAGACTGGAGTGCAGTGGCCACTCCCGGCCACGGCAGCCTCGACCTGCTGGGCTCCGGCGATCCTTCCGCCTCAGCCTTCCGAGTAGCCAGAATTACAGGCACGCGCTACCACGCCCGGCTGACTTTTTGATTGATTGTAGAGATGAGGTCTCGCCAAGTTGCCCAGGCGGGTCTCAAACCCGCAGGTTCAGGCAGTCCACTCACCTCAGCCTCCTAAAGCGCGGGATTACAGGCTGAGCCACCGAGCCTGGCTTTTCCTTTGCTTTTTTGATCATATTCTCTGATTTGCAAAGAATTATTAGTCCAGCTCAGTCTTGCTGAGAATCACGTGCATCAGCCACAAGCAGGCCTTCGTTCCCGGGCTCGGTGTGGCCCGCAGGTAGGTGCTGCATGCCTGCCTTGTTTTCAGTGTGTGCTGGGCTTGGCCAGGAGTGAGAATTTCATTAGTCCCAGGTGGCGGTGGCAGCTCCTGTCCCTAGCCACCATGTAAATGTTCTGGTGGGATCCTGTCTTGTGTCCTCTAAGTCAATACACTGTCTGCAACGATTGGAGATGATCTGAGATCTCTGCGTCGGTGCCCTGTGGGTCTGAAGATTCTGCTGCCTTATTTCGTACACACAAGTAGGGCCAAGAGACCAGCCCGGCTGTGGCTCCCGCCCCTCGTCCTGCCCACCAAGTCGCTTCCTGTTTGCAGCTCCTGTAAACATGACCTGCTCCCATTTGTAGCTTTGCTTCTGCTCGTGCGAGCCTGCCAGTGATCGGGACAGATCGAGTTCTTTGGGAAAGCTCATACACTGCTGGTGGAGTGTCAGCTAGTTCAGCCATTGCAGAAAGCAGTTCGGAGATTTCTCCAGCAGCTGAAAGTGGAATGATCACTCGATCCAGTGGCCCCATGACTGGGCATCTACCCAGAGGAACACAGATCATTCTATTGAAAAGACCCCTGCATTCATGCATTTATCACGGCACTATTTACAGTAGCAAAGACGGCACCAACCTGGGTGCCATCAACGGAGGACTGGAGGAAGAAAATGTGGTACCTACACACCACAGAGTAGTAAGTTAAATGTTTAAAGAGTTACTCTTGGCTGGGCCCGGTGGCTCACACCTATAACCCCAGCACTTTGGGAGGCCGAGATAAGAGGATTGCCTGAGCCCATGGGTTCGAGACCAGCCTGGGCAACTTGGCGAGACCTCATCTCTACAATAAATCAAAAAATTAGCTGGGCATGGTGGCACATGCCTGTGGTTCCAGCTACATGGAAGGCTGAGGCGGAAGAATAGCCTGAGCCCAGCAAGTGGAGGCTGTGATGGCTGTGAGTGTGCCACTGCCCTCTAGCCTGGGTGACAGAGTGAGACTCCAACTCCAAAAGAAAATATTTATTCTTTGTGTCCTAGTATTTCCAGATTTCCTACGCCTTTGTACCATAAACCATAAACCTCAGCTACCAGATGCCACTGCCAAAACTACACAGCAGCCAGGCACAGCAGTGGTTACAACAACATTAACTAGCAAAGAGAACAGCAGAGATATGGACAATATATTTCGGTAACAGCATAAGGATACTAGTGGCAGTGATGATCAAAACTAATGTCTCTCTGTCACGTCCTGATCACGGTTACTTTCCTCACCTCCCAGTGTCTTCACGGGAAAGTCAGCCCGGTGCAGCCTGCCCAGGCCTCCCTATCTGGAATCTTCTCTTCTTCAGCGTTTGCTGTCTTCTTTCCGCGGTTTACTCCTTGGCGTTCACCGTCAGCACGTGCACCGTGTGACTGGAGTTTGTTATTTTGCCCATCACCCCACCACCGCAAGCCCTCTGGACGGGGACTCTCGTCCCCCATGCTCACATACCGTCTCTGCAGGGCCCAGAACAGGCCCTGGCGCCTGGTGAATGCTCAGATTGCCCTGTGCTGGATGCGTGGTGATAGCCGTTGATGACCCTGAGGCTTCCTGTGCTCGGGATGCCGGCCCAGCCCCTTCCCCACACTGTCTCGTCTCGCCCTGACTCCTATGCCCCGCGGGTCGTCATTCTGTCTTCAGGTGTCCTCTCCCACGCACCTTCTTTCTAGAAGAGCCTACCCTTGATGCTCCCATTCCACCCGCTGCTCCGTGCAGACCGTTCTGTCAGGACGGTCATGTCCGATCGGGTCATGTCCTTTCCACCGTTGTGTTACCCATCCCTCCCATCGGCTTGTTGGTCGCTCCGGCCTCTGGACTCTTGCCGCCGGTGCCAGGGCGCCCCTGGGCCTCCTCGCCGGTGCGTCCTTCGCCGTCCCCCTGCCAGCCCTGCCCCTACACGTGCATGTGCCCAGCTCGTCTCTGCCTCGTCCCTGTTCGGCATCTGCTCCTGAAACCAGCTTGCCTGCGCCCACCCGCAGACCCCTCCCCGCCCCCACTGCCCGCTGCCTTCTGCATGCTTTTTCAGGGGTGGTCTCAGGCTCTCTCGCGCTCAGTGTAGCCAAAACCCTTCCCTCCCCCCAGCCACCCGCACATGGGCCTGTGTTTCTGCCCCAGAGATGGCACCACCGCTCACTGGGTCCCCCAAG